ATTCGACTTACATCTTGTTATGATGTAGATACAGGTGTTTAGAATCATCAACAGACGTTTCGTTGAGCTCACCTTACATTCATAGACAGTAATTGGTGAGGCCTCCTTGCTTTTGGGAGACTCCATTTCCATTTCAGTTTTAGCATCATTTGAGGTGTCGTGGGTCTTGTCCCGACATCTATCTTGAATTGTTAAAGGCTTCATATATGGACATAACTATATGATTTTCATTTTTCCTCAAGATGTTGATTTAACTTACGAATTATGTTAAGTATTTTCAAAACAGTGTTTTAGAACTTTTCTTGAATGTCTAAATGCTCATCTATTTTAGCTTCCGCGTATCTTTTAGAGTCATGTGAGTTATAGTTAGCCATGCCAAGAATTCGCTTGGGGATCAAAAATGGTTCTCGAGTGTCGGACACGTCAAAGGTGTAGACCGGGGGCATGACAAATTTATTCTCACACAAGAAACACTTTTTTTAAAAAAATAAATATATATTCTAAAATTAAATTATTTTTAGCTAGTTGGCCAACAATTTGTTAATTTAGTCAATAGATGACCACTAAGCGAACTTTTGGTTACTGGTTAGAGTTATGCAGGTATTAGTTATGAATGATTTAATTATCCAAGTATTAGTTATGCAAGGTTTAGTTATGCAGAGTTTAGTTATGCGGTTATTAGTAGTGTAGAGATCATGGACATAAATTATTAACTATTAAATATTAAATTTGTTGTAAATCAATATATATTATTTACAAATAAACAAATAAGCAAATAGTATATATTCTCCCTCTTTTTGAATAAAAGTAAAGAAAAGAAAAAATCTCCCTCTATACTTAATTGGGACTTCGCTTTTTCTTTTTCTTTTCATTTTGCTTTTTTTTTTAATGTTTATAACTTATAAAAATAAAATACGATTAATACATTTGAAGGACATTATAATATACTATTTCATATAATGTAAATATTCTATCAATATGTTGTATATATTGTTTATATATTTCTCATATACCAAATATACGAATAATGTATAAATTCACATCCCAAACAAAATAATAATACATGTTAATTAAATATGTAGAATATATTTAATAATGTGTAACACTAATATTACTATATATAATAAGTGAGAATATCTACTACTTAGCACATGACAAGTGTTGGATGATATGTGCTTGATAGTGTTGTACATTCTTCTTTTATGGTTGTACCTTTAAAATTTATATTATTGGACAATTTAACACCATTAATTACCTACTACTTTATTAGCCAAAAAGTTTGACCTCATTTGGGCCCATTTATTATTTATATGTTTTCAATTTTCAATATATGTTGTCTATCTAATTCTTTTTTTCAACCTTTTATTTTAAACTTCTTGAAATTTAATTACCTATTTATTACTCTCTCTATGCACTTTTAATTGTTATGATTTCCTTTTTAGAGTCAAACTATAAAAAATTTAACTAATATTTTACAATGTGTTTTTTCATCATATTCGTAGGCAAAAAATTACAATTTATAGTACTTTTTGTATAGATTTTGCATTTTTTTTTTAAATATCGAATTAATACAATCTGATTTAACTTTGAAAATTAGTCAAATGGACTTTCAAAAAGCGCAACATGACAAATACAAGTGGATGGAGATAGAGTATATTTTAGCTACAAAATATATTAGAGGTACAACTTTTTAAAAAAATTAAATTTTTATTGCGTTGACTCTTGAAATCTTATCATTGTCATATGAATTTGAACAAATTATATATTATTAAAAGTTACATAAAAGATGCTATATAAATCACAATAATTAGTAATTAAAAATATTTTTAAATCATATAAGAAATTTGGTTGACTAATTGGAATAGAATAAGTAACATGTACTATTTGAAAATAACGTCAAAATTTCTAGAATTCACAATAAATTAACAACTGAAAATATTTATGATTATTCACGTGAATTGAAACATGAGTAACCTATATTATTCAAAACTAACACAAAAATACTATAAATCACAACAATTTAATAACTTCAAATATATTTTAAAGAAAACATATAAAAAATCAACTGATCTTCAAATTTCATTTATATCACATAAATTAAAACAAAAAAATTAATATTTATTGGGCCCGTGTTGGCACGGGCACCAAATATCTATATATATGTGTCACAAATGGAAAAGTCCCAATCAAGGAAGCAACATATATCATTTACAAATGACTTAAAAAGCATTAAAAATTATAATAATTACTAATTTAAAATATTTAAAAGCTATATAATACAATACGTTGACTCTCAAAATTCTATCAGGCTCACATATATTGGGACAGAAAAAATAACACATATCATTTTAAAATTACCAAAAAAGTATTATAAATAATAATAATTAACAACTTACAATATCTGAAAGACATTTTAAAAGGGTTAATTTTGTAATTTTATCCATATCACATAAATTAGGACAAAGTGACCAGTAATGTACGTTATTTGAAAGTTACATAAAAATATTATAAATCACAATAATTAATAACTTAAAACATTTTAAAAAAAAATATGAAAATTTGGATGACTCTCCAAATTTCATTTGTGTCACACAAATTGAGACAACAAAAATAACATATATTGGGTTCATTTTAATTTATTTGTCTTATTTTTTATTTTTTTATATTTAAAAATTGCATAAAAATACTATAAATCATGATAATTGACAATATAAAATATGTTTTGAAAAAAATACAAAAAATTTCACTGATTCTTGAAGTGAATCTATCGTAAAAATGCTATAAATCATGATAATTGACAACATAAAATATTTCAAAAATGTTGTATGTGGGTAGTCTTATTATGCCTTAAATAGCGTTAAAGAAAATACAGGTTTGTGGTAAAAAAACTTATTCCTTTATCCACGCAAATAATCGCTTCAAAAACTTGGTTATTTGCCCCAAAACATACCATTTATATTATTGGGTCCGTGCATAGCACGGGCTACATTATCTAAGTATGATTAGTATATGCGCCAACAAAATATATACAATCCAATTTGTAATATTATTACATTTGCATTTCAAGAAAACAAAAAAAAAATGGTTCTTCGTGTATTAAAAAAATAAATAAAAAGTTAGGAAAACTTTTCAATAAACAAATTTAAAATAAAGCAATAAGGATTAATGTGTAGTTTACTATTTTAATACATGTTAGCTAATACATGCATAACTTATACATATATTCCTTCATAAGTTATGTTGATATTCATTATGTAGGACTACAAAAAATACAACTAAACACCATATGAAATTAACTTTTATATAACATTGAAATCCTACCAACCAAATATAGTATAAGTTGTGTTGACTTTTCTACATAAAACTTCTGCTAAATAAAACTAATGCAACTTTTTATACATGAATAAAATATAACTTATACATTAATCAAACGGCCCCTAAGTTCTTAAACTTGCTCCGTAAAACAAATGCCGTAAAACACATTTGTTTGGGCAAAAAGTAAAATATAACTAATTTAATTGATTTTAAAATTATTAAAATCAAATATAATATATACTTATCGATTTGATTATTATTAATTTTGATTGAGTTTGGTTAGATTATTCAGTTATTATCTATTAATAAAAAAATGATTCATTCATAAAAACAAAACAGTTAATTCAAAAGAAAATGAATTGTCTTTATGCTATTTTGGATCTTATAATTCTTATACCACGATTTCAATTATATTTAATTTCCTACCTATATTGTTAGCTAATCTAATATACTAAACAACATAAATTTACTAAATAATGCATAAACTATCGATATTGTTGCACAAATAAAGAAGGAAAAATTGTGCATTATAACAAACTATTAATTCAAAATAAATATTCTAGTTATAATTTTATTTAATTCCAATTCGTAACAAACTTTTTGTCATTTGCCTCTCTCCCCTCTCTCTGGAATCTCGCTCGCCACTCTCCTCTTTTTCAGCCATCTCTCCCTCACCTCTTTCACTTTATACAACACACAAATGTATAATTTGTGTTGTGTTTGTATAAAGCGAGAGAGACTGTATATACAAATACAAATACATATCTCTCAGTCCTATAAACTTATAATTATACAAATACATATCTCTCAGTCCTATACACTTAATTATACAAATACAAATCTTCCCTACCCAGTTCTCTTTTGGCTTTCTTTCTGTCGCTTTATATAAACACAAATTATACAAAATACACATATAAAGCGAGAGGGATTTGATATTCAAATACAAATGTTTTAACTAGATTTAATTGTATATGAATTCAAATTTTATGCAGATATACAAACACAATCATTGATACATATACATATACAATTCACCTCTCTCCACTCTCCATCCTCTCTCGCTCACTTCTCTCTTGTCTCTCCCAATATGGCTAGCCACTCTAGCCTAAAACATATGTCATATACATATACAAACACAATTTTCATAGACACAGACGAATTAACACCCGATTTATACAAATCACCGCACTTATACAAATTAAATGCTCCATAACAAACATATTTTGACTATAGAGTGTAAATATCAAAATTGTAGCTATGAAACACTAATATAACTTTTTATCTTTGCTATTCATAAAATTTACTCATAAAAGAGACACATCACACCTAACTCGTTTTTATTAGAATATTGCACTTCGCATGAAAAATTATACATAAATGTAATATATTATTTATATATATAATTTATCAGTTCAATTTTCTCAAACAAAATCAAAATAAATATCATCAATTTTTAAAAAATTTCAAATCAAACCAAATAAAAATAAATTTATTTAATCAGGTTGATTCAAATTTCAATTTTTATCCAAACCATGAACCGTCGTTATCGCCCAAATCAAATCATATATAAAAAAGTCATAAATTAATCAAGACACCGACACTTTATGCTAAATTTCAACTCTCCGTGCAGCGCCAACGGGTCGCTCTCATTCCAGTAAAAAATAGCCACTCAATCGAGCGATACGTTTAAAGTAAAATATCCCCAAGTAAATAAATAGTACCAACTATTTCCATACATTTTTCTACTCGAATGCTTTCTCGTCTCAGCAGGACTCCTCCTCCACCACTCGCCATGGCGGCGCGTGCTCTTCCACGCTCTTTCTATCCTACCGCCGCGTCCGCCATGATTGTCTCCACGAACTCGCATTTCATTCTCCCTCCGTCACCTACGGTGGCTCATATTTCCTTCGGCAAATCTTTGTCAATTATTGGTCGGAAGTTTCATTATGGATTGAATTGCAAAGAGGACAGGAGATGGAGTGTTGCAGGATGGAGTGGCAAAGTGTTTGCTTCTCAGAGAGAGTATAGGAAGTCTCGGAGAAGGCCGTTGAAGAAGAAAGAGAAAGAGTTGGAACTTAGTGTAAACATTTGCATTGAAGAGCAATTGCCCGATGATCCTGAAATTGTGGTAATATACCTTAGTTTGCTTTCTGATATACACTAATTTTGATTCGTGTGACATTTTATTGCAGTGTGTAAAGTTTTGAACTCTAGGTGTTGTTTGATAGCTGTATAAGAAACAAATTATTTCATGTATTGATTTTCGTATAACTTGTACAACCTTGGGTAGGTAGATAGGAAATAAGTAATTTATAGATAAAATTAATAGTTGATTGGTTGACAATTTGGAAACCCCCATAATTAATATATGTATAAGTTATGAGAGAAAATATGTATTAGAAGGTAGAATAACTATTTCCTGCATAACTAATACATGCATAAAATAATACATAGATTCACTCATAATAAATCCCTATATTATTGATACATGTATAAATCTAATCAGCTACCAAACGACTTCAAGTGCAAATGGCAACAGGAAAAGCATGTGCAACTCAAATGTATGCACATTTTGGGCACCTATTGACCATTTTATGTTCCTCATGCATTTCTGTGGATAAGAATTTATCACAAAATTTGTGAAGTGAAGGCTGCCTTCTAAAACGAAGTGCTAACCAGGGAAATAAACTGAGAATCATGTGCATGAGCAATGTTTGAACTTCTTGGCAAAGTCATTTTTCTCTGGGAAGAATTTCTACTTTTTGTTTAGAATGTCAAAACGAGTTTCATGAGCCAGGGAAGAGATATGACCAAGAAATTAGTCCTTAGCGGATAATAGCTATTGATTTTTCAAAATCTTCAGTATCAAAAATGCCAAAATCAGTAAAATAAGCAGGAAGATATATGCATTTTAAGTATACTAAACAGCCTCCTCTTGAGCTAGCTGAAAATTTCCAAACAAAAATTTCTATCAAGAAAGTTTCAGGCACTACTTTGCAGTGACTCTAGTTTGTAAGTTCATTTCGTTCTATTTTATTCATTCCCGATTCTGGCACTGCAGGATATTTCTGAAATGCTTCGTCTTAATGTTCCAATGGCTATGAAATTTGCATTTGATAATTTGAAAGATTCAGACTATCAAACGAGGGATAGAGCAATTAATGACGTTGGTTGCTTTGAAAGTGTTGAATTGTCAGTCTTGCTTTGCAACGATGAGTTCATCTGCGAACTTAATAAGGACTGGAGAGATGTGGATAGCCCTACTGATGTCCTTTCAATGTCACAACATATACCTGAACTTGAGCTGCCAATTGTAAGAAAATGCTTCATTATTCACATGTCACGCCTCATGTAACAAAGCTGACTAGGTCCATGTTCAACAGTTAATGCTGGGAGACATTGTGATTTCGGTGGAGACAGCAGCAAGGCAAGCAGAGGAAAGGGGACATAGTTTACTGGACGAGATACGCATCTTACTGGTAGGTTTCACATACTTCTGAACAATCTCTATATACTTCTGTTAAATCCAATATATCTTTATGACTCATTCCTGTGCGTAATTTATGGTGCAATCTGTGGTTGTCTCTGAATATTGTCCCTGAAAGAAAGGCTGATCCTCAAATTTGGATGTCAATAATATTTTCCACATCTAGTACCCTTGACAATTTTTATACTAGGTAGTCCATCCATTAGTGTTCATCAAATATGGACATGCATAGTTTCTATCACTCATTTATTCCGGTTGTTCATTTTTTATGGAGTTTCTTTCATGTGGTCATATGGTTATAGATTTAAAGCCTTTTGGATTGTCATTGTCCTGAAGTAGGAAGGATGACATTAGTTTGAACCAAGTCACCAACTGCACTAGAATTTGATGTTGTCTTACAAATGAGACCATCATTGTTTGTCACCTCTGCAGGTTCATGGTTTGCTACATCTTTTGGGGTTCGATCATGAGATTAGTGATGAAGCTGAAGCTGAAATGGAGAAAGAAGAGGAGCTCCTTTTAAAAAGTCTTGGGTGGAAGGGAAAAGGATTAATTCAGAGCGCATATGATGCTGAGGCTGCTGGAAGTTCTCCTTTGGAGAACATTGGTAATGTACCAAATAAGAACTAAAAGATTGTGGCCTTCTTTGTTCAATTATTCTCTTCTAGTTATGTTATTTTTCTGTATTGTAAGTTTACATTCCTGATTAATGGGATTGAAGAGTTAATCTTACTAGTCAACTGTGTAAAGACAGGAAGAAAGAAGGGAGTCTACGATTTTACAGACCAAAGTTTAGCTACATCTTCTGTGATATGGATGGTAAGGAAACAAGTATGATGCTTAGAATTGGTTCGTTTAATCTGTTTCACCTGTTTATTATCTCGTTGTTTTCTTTTCATTGTTGGTGCTAGGTACCCTCCTGAACAGCAAAAGTCAGATTAGTTCAGTAACTGCTGAAGCTCTTAGAGAGGCCACTTCTAGGGGTGTAAAAGTGGTCATAGCTACTGGAAAAGTGAGGACAAACTACTTTTTTCCCTATATCCTGCCTAGTTTCTCTGATTTCCTTTAGATATAATAGTATCTCTTGATGCGATATACTGTGTTTTTTTCCTGCTTCTGTTCAATTATCTTAAGCTTTGTATTTTTCTTGGCGAACAGACTCGTTCTGCTGCCATTACTGTGCTCAAGAGTGTAGGTTTAGCTGGAAAAGACGGCATTGTTTCAGAGGTTTCTCCAGGAGTATTTGTGCAGGTTTAACTTATTCCATTTCTATCCCTAGCTAATAGGATCTTTTGTATAATCTTTCGAGCCATTCAATATGTACAATTGGATATGGGTAATCGAGATTCACTTACAGAATTATATAGAGATTCATTTAAGATAATCATAACGTCTTGTACATCCTCCCAAAACTAGGGATTTTTGTTGATCGCTTACCACCCTTACCCCTCCCAAAAAAGTAGAAGTGAAAGTTCTTCATGTGTTGTAAATAAGCTTGTATGTTGAATGATAGTTCGGAAACAAATGTAACCATTTTGGGACTACAGAAAATGGAAAGTGGAGCAATAAGAGATAAAGGGAGTAGCCTATTTGTGAACCATATCTGATGATGTTATTAAGGACAATCATATACTTAGGAAACAACTGCTTGACAAATTCTTTTCTACAGCCTGATTTATTCAGTTTATTTCAGCAGCTATATCACGGCATGTTGACATCAAATGGTCTGTTAGTGTTGTGAGTGAAATTGGGGAGAGTTGAATGAGAATTAATGATTTGGTGATTTCCTTAATAAGAAGTTTATGAAGTTGATTTATACAATCTTTTTCATTTTTCTTGGAAATGCTGAAATTTCTGAAACAATTTAAATGATTATTTTTAGAGAGAGGAGGATGAAGTGATGAATACCTGAAAGGCATGGAGTTGAAAATACAAGGAGGTTGAAAGGTTATCAAGGAAAAGAATTGCCTAAGATGGAGAATTAGAAGGATAAGCTTATTGGAGTTTGGACATCTCTATTCTTATGTCCTGTTGTTTTCTTTTAAACCAAAATGAAATAAACAAGTATGAAGTAAACTGATACTCCTACTTTTATTGGTAAGCATATTAATTAGACCTAGAATTTATTATATTTGAATATATGGTGGTTTAAAATGGAGATGAAGTTCCTCTTTTTAAAAAACAACCCCTTCTCAAAAGGAATGGAGATGAAGTTCACTTTTTTTGAAGAATGTTCTCATTTTTAAGTTAAAAGTTGTCCCCATTTAAATTTTCTTGGTTATAAGATATTGAGTTAGAACTGATCAGTCAATAAAAAGAAAGGTTCTCAGGAAAAAGGACACATTTTGGAACATCCCAAAATATAAAGTTGGTCAATAGTTTGGGCTAAAAGGAGTAATTATGTCATTTGATCGGCCATTTAATAGCTTTTACTTTTCTATTTTTTCCCAATGCTAGGGGTTGCTCGTTTATGGCAGACAAGGCAGGGAAATTTCTCGAACAAACTTGGATCCAATTGTGTGTAGAGAGGTAATTTTCCTTTGCTTGTGTCAGTCTTAGTTCCCTTTCATTGGTTTACAATATTCTTCTTCTTGTTCTTTCGGATCATGTTTGTATATTCTATTTTATGGTAGGCAACATCTTATACAACATCTATTTTGTCCATTACTCCCATATCATTATTCAATCTCTTTGATTAAAAGATATAATTGCACCGCAAAATGTTGTGATCTACTAGGAGTCAATTCAAATGGAAGGATATAATTCATATATTTCACGTGTCAGTTTATTGGTTCTCTTCTTTTTAAATAAAATACATAACTTCAAAGAGTGCATCAAGATGCGCCTACTGGTCAATTAAGTGGGTGCAAGACAATCTGGCAAAAAAAAAAAATACTAGGTAACTTCTTTTCATTTGCCTAAGCTTGGATAGACAAAGTTTTTCGGTATCTATGCTAGCGGGAGGTAGCAAGTACCAGGTGAAATAATTAAGGTGTGCGCTAGTTGGCCTAGACACCACACCATCATCAGATATGACTCTTAGAGTACCTACCTTTCCTTACTTGTGTTGGTGGGATATATCAGGTACCTCGTGGAATTAGTCAAGGCTCGTACGACCTAGCACGGACACCATGATTATAAAAAGATAAAAATATCACAACTCTAATGTCCGTACTGTGGATAATATGGAAGGAAAGGAATCACAAATATTTCGATGGAAGATCAGAGACACCTTGTACTACAACTACTCCTTAATTTCAGATTAATTGGAATAAGCTATATGAATCTTCCACATCATTTCACTAATTTCATCATGGTACTCAATAATGTGTGTTTTCAAACAAAATTAGGATTCTCTAAAGTTAGTGCCTTCTACATCTCATACTTTTTTTCCCTGACATACAAATGTCTATTCAGCGACATATCCATAGTGACGTGCCTTGGTGTATGTTATTCAATGATGACATAGTGTTTATTGACGAGACTCGTGATGGAGTTAATACTAAGCTAGAAGTTAGAAGGCAAACCCTAGAGTCTTAAGGGTTCAGGATGAGCAGAACCAAGATTGATTACTTGGAGTGCAAGTTTAGTGATGCAACCATGAGGTTTGTGTGGAAGTGAGGCTTGATACCCAGGTCATCCCCGAGAGAGGATGTTTCAAGTATCATGGGTCCTTAATTCAAGGTAATGGGGACATTGATGACGATATCACTCATCGTATTGGGGCGGGTGGGCGAAATGAAGGCTCGCCTAATTAGTCTTGTGTGATAAGAAGATACCACCTAACCTTAAATATAAGTTCTATAGAGTGGTGGATAGATTGACTATGTTGTATGGAGCGGAGTGTTGCCAGTCAAGAGCTCTCATGTTTAGAAGATGAAAGTTGCGGAGATGAGGATGTTAATGTGGATGTGTGGGTATACTAGGAGATATAAGATTATGAATAAAGATATCCAAGACAAAGTGAGAGTGGTCTCCGTGGTGGACAAGATGAAGGAAGCGAGGTTAAGATGGTTTGGACATGTAAAGAGGAAAAGCGTAGATGCCTCAGTGAGGAGGTGTGAGAGGTTGATAGTGGTGGGTGTTCGGAGGGGTAGATGTAGGCTGAAGAAATATTGGGGGAGGTGATTAGACATGACATGTGCATCTTGAGCTTTCCGAGGACATGTCCTTAAATTAGAGGTTTTGCGGGTTGCTAATTGGAATAAAAGGTTAGTTAGTAATTCTCTCGCTTTTCGGCGGGGTAGGATAGGTGGTGGTATCGGTACTTACTCTCTTACCAGTATTTTTAGCACTATTCACGTAGTTTCTTGTTAATCGATTATTGTTATTATTTGTGTTTCCTGTGCTTCGGTTATCACACTAGTTCGTTGTTGTTATTGTTCTTTTCTGTATGCTATGTACTGCTTTTCATAACGCTATATTCCATTGTTCTTACTACTTTCATTTCCGTGTTCTCTTTTTCAAACTTCTTGGATATGCTTTACTTGAACCGAGGGTCTATCAAAATACCTCTATCTTTATGAGAGGTCTGCACACACTCTACCCCCCAGACCCCTCTTGTGGGATTACCCTGGGTATGATGTTGTATGCAAATATCTATTCAAATTATAAAAGGACTTAACGCACACACCGGAACTAGGTAAGCGTCCGAACAATGACTATATCTTAATCAAACTAGTTGGTCTTGCCTATTTATATGATTTTTGTGTATTGTTTTTTGTTCTTTATTAAGTTCGCATGAATTTAAATAGATTTAAGGTTGTTTGACACAATTTTTTCTCCTGTAATTTTAAGTCCACCTGGTCCGTTTATGATATCAGTGAATTGCTTTTTCTTTTTAAACAAATTTGCAAAATTTGACATAACTTCTTCCCCTGTAATTTTAACACTTTGAACTAACAGACTATCAATCCTATGGAGTATGGACCAAGGCATTTGAAGGTTTACGTAGGATATGATCAATCCAACTTAGACAACCTTTTCTCATCTTATCCTATATTTGTGTTGCTTGTACCTTTTGTCGGATGTGGTAATTTCGTGTCAAATATTATATGTGTGCACATCCATCTTAGCATCTGCATCTGTATGACACTCATCTCGTGGATATAAATTAAAACCCAACATCATTTTCATATAACAACACTGGCTTACCATTGTGTTTAATCTTGATATGTTAGTTAAAGGAGTTCAAGTCCTTTATATTTTGTGAAGTTGAGCATTTTCTTGTGTTGATTTTTGTGAACTAGATTCACTTTAATTATAAAAAAGGACTCAATAAATTTATTTGTCCATATGAGACCTGATTCTGACCATTTTTCTATTTACAGGCATGTCTCTACTCTCTTGAGCATAAGGTTCCCCTTGCTGCATTTAGTGAGGACCGGATCTTAACATTGTTTCATCACCCTCTTGTGGATTCACTTCATACCATATATAATGAGCCAAAGGTACCATCCCTATCAATATTTTATATCTTGCTAGACATTGTACAAGCATTGGGATTTGTTGCTGAATGCTTCGTATCTAATCTATTTTGCCAGGCCGAGATTATTCCTTCAGTTGAGCAACTATTGACTGGGACAGACATACAGGTATGTAGCTGAAATTAGCTGCTAAGCATATGACTAGTACTTTCCAAGTATTGAAGGGTATTGGAGATTAATTGTAGGTTTATAGTGTTGCCCTGAACATGTGCCATTTATTATTGAGAAGGAATTGTACTTTGCACTAGTATTACACATTTAAGCTGAAAGGAAAACTGCATCTGAAGTTGCTGGAAGAGTCCTTATTTTTCAAGCTGGTGGCTTGCTTAGGATGCAGATGGACCACATGATTAGGTAGTTGGTTAAATTCGATCATAGACTTTTTAAATTTTGTTTTTGGGTGGGGGTGGCTTACGTCTTGTAAGCACATTGCTATGTTGTGGAGGTGAAGCCTCCCCTACCCTACCAAAGTTTGTCTAGATGTCAAATTCCTCTCCATATGCTTGAAATAGTCCATTCATGGTTTTTGTTTACTAATGCAAGTTGAGCTCAGTTTTTCTTAAAAACAATCTTTTCTCTTATTGGTTTTGAAGTTGATAATTTATGTATTATAGTAATCACAGAAAGTAAGAAAAGGTAATGAGCTAGAAATCTGGAAGATAAGAAATAAAAGACAACCTAAAGAGATAAACTTATCTACTATGTGTTTTTTGAGAAAGGTAAAGCTGTATTCCTCAGCAATGAGGGTATGCTGACAACCATAATAAACTGACAAGGCAGGTAATCATAATTACATGGAGCCTAGGAAATCTACTAATTGTTCTACCTCATCTATACCCTCTTCTTTACACCAAAATATAAAGTATTAATGCAGTTTTCTTTTACTTTCTGCATTGGATTAGTAATATTCTCAAAACATCTATTATTTCTTTCCTTCCAAACTGACCACCATATGCAAGAAGGAACTAGGCTTCACCATTTTTTTTGCTTTTTACTCCCACCTCTCCTATCCAGCAGCTTGGAAGATCTGAAGTATGTTCAGGCATCACCCATGGTTGTTGAATAAGATTGTGGAACATATGCCATACCTGAGTAGTCACTCTTTTGATCTGAAGTATGTTCAGGCATCACCGATGGTTCTTTTGAGGGTCGCTTGTTGGCGAAGATACAGATGCCCGGTTTGCTGGTGTGTTGAGATTTGGGTTGTTATCCTTTTGACATTTTCATGGTCATGGTTATTTTGTGTATTCAAGGTCGAGGCAAAAGGGGACAGTTGCATCACTGTATGATCTTTTTAGTTTTCTTTTTCCTTGTTGGGGTGTGGATGGGAGGTTCGTCCCCTTTTTAGTGGTGGTGCTTTAAGTAAACACATGGTATACACTCCATTTGTAGGGAGGGGAATTACTCCTCCCTAAATGGTAAACGGTTCTATCAACCTTTTTTGCTTACTTTCAATTGTGTTTTAAATCTTTTCTCATTTCTTCTGTTTATTCTTAAACTAGTAAAATTACCTGCGCCTCGCGCGGGAATTTAGTATCATGAAATTTATAAAATAATACTTAAAAACTACCCGTCATTAAAATTAAAACACTATATTATTTTACATACAAGATTACGCAGTAACGAACATTAATAATGTAAAGGAAAATGAAAATTATAACATCTTATCATTTATCCTTAATAACATAAGCATAAATTAATGACTGAAAAAATAAATACCAGGATTTGTAACATAGGTGTTAGTGAGCCACTCAACAGGAGCAAAAAATGTTTAATTGTGCAAAAGAAGAAGATGAAGTAGTTCAGAATTTTCGTTGTTTTAAAATGAGAGGAAATCCCTCTATTTGTAGACAACAAAGGGTAGTATGAACAAATGTTTATATCGGAAAGGTCATGACTATTTGGAAAAGTTGCAACCCTTCGAAAAGGTCGCAACCTTTCATAAAAGTCTCAACTTTTTATGAAAGGGGAAGGCTAGTTTTGGAAATAAATAAATTAAAAGGGAATCTTGTATTTTGGTGGCGCCACGTAGGCGGGCCTAGGGTTCTCTTTTAATATCGCACGGGAATTTAATATCACGGAATTTTATAAAATAATACTTAAAATCTATCAGTCATTAAATCTAAAACACTATATTTATTATCTTACATACAAAATTACGTAGTAACGAACATTAATAATGTAAAGAAATCATTTATCCTTCAATCAATCTCTTTAATTTGATTTTATAATTTATCCTTTTACTTCCAGGAAGTGTTACTATTTGATATTTTTGGGGAATCAAATGAACATCAACCTGAGATATACAAATATTCTAATTCTAATGTGTAGAGAAGTTCAGCCCTACCTTTTGCTTTACATATATCATTTTAAAGTTCTCCATCTAAATGTATCATAAGTAATTATTAAAATGAAAAATTAAAGGGAGAATGTATCATATTGGACAACAATTCAACTTATTATATATACTTGAAAGGGAAAAATATTACACAAAACTATTCAGTTTGTTTGGGTGTTTTTTAAAAATCAACATACCAGAGTGATGGAGTACTACACTTCTATTCCAATCGCAATGTCGAAATACTCATCTATTACTTCAAGAAAAGTATTTACAACTAGAAGTAAATTTGAGAATTTGTCCATACTTCATATTGAATATGAGCAAATAATTGATTATGTAGTTATCTATGTCTTTGGGATTAAAAGAGGCTCCAGTCTAGTCATATTCCTCTATAGGTCATCCGACACATCCTTGAATCCATGTCAAAAGTTTATTAATTCGTCTTCTTTTCCTAGTTCACTTCGCGCATCAAGGTGCGATAATGTTTTTAATGTCTTTGTCCTTTCAATGTCATACCAAATTTGAATTTTGTCTTCAAGAGATGGTAATATAGATCTTTAAGAATTTTTTTATCGTACCTTCAACAATTTCAGTAGAGAAAACTTGCGTGAATACTCAACTAATGTGTGTTATTTAACCTGTACTAACAAATAGTTATAAGAATAACTTTGCAAAAAACATAAACAACGAAGTTTAAAACATATACTCAAGAACAATAATTAATAACATAAGTATAAATGAATGACTGTAAAAAAAATACCAGGATCTGTAACAGTAGAATGAAATAGAATGGAAAAACTCGAGCCCACTAAATGTACAATGTCCCCCTTAAGAAAATTATTCCCCTTTAGTACCCGGGGTTTAAATGAATAGATCCTCTCAAGATAGAACGATTCTATTCACCAGTATATTGATACAAAAACAATGGTGTCAGCGAACCACTCAACATGAGCAAAGTATACAAATATTTAATTGTGCAGAAGAAGGAGATCAAAATTTTCGTTGTTTTAAAATGAGAGGAAATCCCTCTATTTATAGACAACAAAGGGTAGTGTGAACAAATGCTTATTGTGCCTTATCGGAAAGGTCACAACTTTTTGGAAAAGTTACAACCCTTCAGAAAGGTCACAACCTTTCATAAAAGTCACAATTTTTCATAAAAGTCGTAACTCTTAATAAAAGTCACAACTTTTCATGAAAGAGGAAGACTAGTTTTAGAAATAAATAAATTAAAAGAGAATTCTAGTTTGTGGTGGCGCCACGTAGGCGGGCCTAGGGTTCTCTTTTATATATGATATATATGATATATGATTTCACTTTTGGCTTTCTCCCCATTTTTATTTGCTTGTTTACATTCCAAGTTTTTCATCTGCAGATGGCAGGGGATATTTTTTTTCATTCAGCACCATATTCTAGGTTTGGTTGTAAGTAATCCTTTATTGTCAATTTGCAGAAGGTAATCTTCTTTGATACTGTGGAGGGAGTGAGTTCTACATTGAGACCATACTGGACGGAGGCTATTGGAGATAATGCCTCTGTTGTCCAAGCTCAACCAGACATACTTGAAATTGTTCCTCCTGGAACTTCTAAGGGCAGTGGAGTAAAGATACTTCTTGATCATTTGGGTGTTAGTCCAAAGGAGGTGAGTGCTATCAAACTTTTTCCATAATCTCTTATATTACCTAATATCTCAAAACAGTTGAATTGAAGATTGCTAATGAGAACTACATTGACACAGTTTTTCTCAAAGAATAAAATAAAATACCTTGACACAAGTATTAATATTTATCTTCCCTATGAGTTACTCTTAGCATTTAATCGTCACGGTACACTTAAGTTTACCGAAACTTGCCTTGGGATCCTTTACTCTGCAAAAATGTTGTGTCATCAGTTTCGTTCCTGAAACATGCTTCATTCTCTCTGATACACCTGTGCTGAAGAAGTTACCATTAATGGGATTTTTAACCCAAGAATTTGTGACAATAGAATGCCAGAAAAAATCTACCATACATATCTGAACAAATGGGGTTTTATGTGCTAATAACTTTTAGTTTTTTTTTGAGCTGCTTAAGATTCAGGGGGCATTGCTGTATACATGTAAGACACACACACACACACATATATATATATATGTATTTTTATTTTTTTTTCAATTGTTTCAAATGTAAAATTAATATCACAGCGGTTAAGTGTGAGGATGGAACTCCCAAATGATAGACTTAATTGAAAAATGTCATCATAAAAAGTTATAATTTTCTGAACAATTGGTGTTCCTCTGGTATAGACACATTCTTTCACTGAATATAGTGCAAATCTCGCGATGATAAGCTGGCCTGGACACCACGATTATCCCAAAAAAAAAATGAAAATAGCCTATATGGGGTGAGCAGGAGATATCTATATTGTCAACCCTCTCAAAATCACGGAACATTTTTTTATTGGAAGATCTGTTTATGTCCCTCGTGGAACACCTATGTTTTGACTATGACGTGAACCCAATAACTTTTACTCAAACCCTGTATATGTATTAAGAAATCCACAAAATACCTTTATATATGTGACTGTAAATCCAATTATTATTGTTTATTAACTTGAACCTACAGTAGGAATGCATGAACTTCAAATCCTAGATCTGTCTCTGGACTAGGGAGCTTTCTGTTGTTTCTATAGATTAAACATTTCCTTTCTCTACAGCCTTAATGGGGCCATGCCTAGAGGGGAATAGTTGATTTTCCCATTGCATATTTTGCACGACTAGTCCAAGATGGGGCAGAGATGTGATGAAACTGTATCAATTTCGTTTTATCCATACCATTTTTAGATCTGCATGAGCGTGCACAATCTAAAATTTTGTAGTCTAGTTATAGAGTTTCTCCAACTCCTCTTCCACTTTTATTTTCAGATAATGGCCATTGGTGATGGAGAGAATGATGTGGAGATGCTTGAGTTGGCTTCCCTTGGTGTTGCTCTCAGCAATGGATCAGAGAAGGCAAAAGCTGTTGCAGATGTGATTGGTGCCAGCAACGATGATAATGGAGCAGCTGATGCAATCTACCGTTATGCTTTTTGAGGTTATCTTCAGGAACGCAAGAATTGGAAAACGGGAATTGGAGAGGGCTATGCATGCTTTCATAAAGTACTAAAGGTTTAGTTTTCTAACTTATTCAATTTGAGTAAACTTCTCAGTAGCCACCAATTAGGCTGAAGTGGATCAAATCACTCCCTTCTCCATTCATACTATAGGCCATTTATAATGAATTTAGATTAAGAAAACCCTATTTGTTGTCATTTACCTTTTGAAAGAATGAGGGAAGAAGCATATTTTGTATCTGCATAGAACACCATTTTTTCCCTGAACATAGGGTATGTCAATGACATCTTATACTCATTGCATGTAAGCCTGAGTTCTTATATATTACTGATCGCGATTCGTTTCTTTTAATTCCACATGCAAGATAAATAGATAATGCTCTTGCCCAGTGTTTACACCAAGCATGTAAATACATATTACATGTTTATCAATAAATCATGATTGAATATGCATTCTTGCTTCAATGTACATATGGTTTGATGTAAACATTGGGTGTGGTTAAGTTAGCTCTCCTCATTTTGGAGTCGTTACAAAATAAAAAGTTTTAAGTAAATGAAAAAGGATAGCATAGGCATCTCCTTCAACTAAAACAAGATTTACAAAATTTAAGGGGAATATTATCAACATAATTATTAGTATAAGAATTTTTTTTATTTCTCAAAATTTAATTTCTTGATTATATGGGAATCATGGTGAGTCCCACCTATCTTGACCACGATGCTTCTTCATTATAGACTGTTCAGCACTGAAGGCAAAAGAAGCTGCAGTCACTGGAAAAAAAAAACACAAAACAAAATAATTGAATTTCATTGGGGAGAATGAAATATTTTAATCGAAGATAAATATTACTATATAGTTTTGGATTACTTACATGCAGATATGATGAATGTTTTACCAGCATAATTTATATTTGCCTTAGCCCATGGACAATAACGAGTAGAAGCAAACTGAAAAAAAAGAAGATACTAAAGGACAGAGAACAAATAATTGCTCAACTTTCATTTTGTTGTAATTAAAGTTGTTAAATTGTTTTTTTATCAGAAAAATCACTAATTTTTGTACCCAAAATGTTATTCAATTTTGCCTACGTATCATAGGAATCGGTAGAAGAAAATAAGAGATATTTTACATGATATTTAGACAAATTGAATTTGAATGACGTTTTGTTTAAAAGAAATTGTTTAGTGCCACGTTCTGATTCTTAAGTGAAATTGAATGAAATTCATGTTATAAAAATAATAATTTTAGTGGCTTTCTGTGATAATTAATCGAAGTTAGTGATCATCTATAATATCAACCTTTTTTACTATTCCCTCTATCCCAATTTATGTGATTTACTTTCCTTTTTAGTCAATTCAAAAAAGTATGACACATTTCTATATTAAGTAACAATTTAATTATAAAATGTCTATTTTACACTTAATTAAATGATTTACAGTCACAAATTTCTATCATTTATTTTGGACCACAAGTTTTAAAAGTTTTCTTTCTTTCTTAAACTCCGTGCCGAGTCAAACTACCTCACATAAAATGGGACGGAGGGAGTAATATTTATTACTTAACCATGATTAAAACGATATGTACCTTCACATTATTTTTAACTTTTCCTACTAAGATTAAGTTATTTGATTTGATATAAATATCGAATATGACTAATTTCTCCACTTATTCGGCTCACTCCGGAAAAAAGAAAAAAAGAACTTTTTAGAAATGGAGGGGATAGATTACCACAACTATAGAAGTAAGAGCACATGTAGTGGCAGCTCCTTTAAATCCATCTTGAATGATGTCTGCATAATCAAGCAACATTATAAATTTCTTAAAAATTAATGAGAGGATTAGACAAACAATAATTAGAAATGATACAATATACTTCTCAAAAGGAACAACAAATGAAATAACTTTCTATTAACCACTTTCTTTGACGAAGAAAATTGAAATAAAAAAAAGAAAATTGACTTTCTAAAATAATAATTATTAATAAGAAAAGAGGGAAGAAAACACCTTGAACGTCTTGATTTTTCTGTTCTTCTGTAATTGGTGGCATTTTTTTTTTGTCTCTAATTACAATGATAATAAATTTGAATGTCAAGAAAGTGATGGTAAAATCAAATTTTAGTTGTGAAACTTCAATTTTAATGTTTTTCTAGAGAAATCTTGATACTGTCCCTCTCTTTTCTCAAAATAAGGCTAACCTTCTCTATAGTTGTTTTAACAAATTTGCCAAAAATTAAGGGAAACTAATAAAAATTAAGTGGACAAAATTTTGTGTTGTTTTTTCTTTGTAAGAAGGGAAAGGGATTTTTCATCATTTTTACATTGATAGTCTTTTAAATTAATCAATAAATTTTATTTATACAATCAAATTGTCTATTGTTTTAATATTTATTTTTAATATTTGAGCATCTGAATACATAAAAAAATATTCCTATTAGATATCTTTGAATTGAATTATGTTATTTTTTTGCTTGTATTCTCAAGTGTCAATTACGATAAATATGTCAACCAATTAGAATATATTACCTTCATTAATTATGCGTATTAGCCTCAATAAGCCGTAAAACTGCAAACATGTTCCACTTCATTTTCTACCTATTCTCTCTCTAGTCCATGTTAACACCTTTTTTGGGTGGTTGTTATCTGTTATATTGTTAGTCTAAATACAATGTTTGTTTTGATTATTGCTCAAATTATATTGTACCGTATCGTATTGTTTAAATTCATTGTTAAGTAATGACGAAAAGACTTTAACAACCGACTTGGTATGATCGCGTTGTTAGGGTATGACACACCTCTTAAGAAAAATATTTAAGGACATAAATAAAGACTACTTTCTACTATTACCTTTTGATTATTCCCAAATTATTTTTCTAGAAAATATAAAGTAGTTAAGAATCTCAAGGAAAGGTCAATATGAAAAAAGGAAAAAAAAATTCCAACAATTCTCTTAAAACTTTAAAAAATTCACTTGTTTTGAAGTATGATTTTTTCCCCCAAATAATCTAGGATTAGAGGGAGTATTTAATAGACCCATTTTCCTACATTTTCTAATTCACACTTCATTTAAAAAATATACCCAATAATCAGCTTCACTCCATTACACTTTTTTTTCTATTTTCTCAAGTGCACATTTGTATTAGTGTCACTTCTCCTATCCAATTTTAAAGAACTAAGTTAAGTTTATTTAACAAGTATTTTAACCATAATTATAAAAATAAATTTTCGAAATGAATATAAATTGAGAAAAAGTGAATGGCAGATGAAAGATTATTATCCCACATCTAACTATCTGTCCCAAACCAAAATTGAGAGAAAAAAATGTTCTATTTACTATGATCATCAAGACCAAATTAATCTCACAAATCTGATGCTAATATGCAGATTATTCAATCTCCACAAGCAAAGATGTGTACTAACAAGTTGGCTTCTTCTAGGCCATCCATGAAGGAAGTAATGCAAACTCTTCTACTCTTTGCTTGCTAGCTAAAGCTAACTGTTCAGAAAAGCTAAATACTCACCAGAAAATCATTATATCAGCAGTTAATAGCTTGTCCTCTGAGAATAACACAGACATGAATCACTCATATATGATGCAAAAGGAAGAACAAGAACAAAATTACTCATATATGGTGCAAATCCAAACTAAGTACATTTGTGCAAAGATGAAGAAATTCATAAAACTTTCATAGATATCCTTTTAAGAAAAGAGTACATAGTAATGGAGCACACACAAAAAAACACATTAGGATCTCCCGACCAGTGTCTTAAGCAGATTTATCGTAGTGAGTGTTTCTCCTTGCACATTCCAAGATTGTCTTGTCAGCAGTAATGAAGTATGCAGCAATTGAAGCTGTTCACAGAAAGAAAACAATAGAATATAAACTAGGGACTTCGAGAAACATGTTAGGAGCTGGCAGAAAGAAAACTAAAGCAAACAAACAGAGAAACTATTATTACTACGATTTACATAGAAGTTGAAGATCACCTAACATGCTATGTAATTCTAGACGTACAGTACATGATATAATGTCTGGTGACCAAAAGCAAAAGGTGGTTGCGACAAAACTGAAATACTTAATACTCATAAGTGATAGGATCAAAAGATGATTGTGGTAAGAAGAAGCTCTTGCATTGAGACGTCCAAACTGGACTTGTAAGATTAAAGGAACCGGATAATGAAGTTTCTCATAGGAAGATAACTGAAGCATTCAGGAACTTAAAGAAACTACCGCACTTCACGAAAAATTAACACAGGGTAACTGGAGATTAGGTACCTAACCAGCATTAATGCCTTTGGGTACGAATACATGATCAGAATACGGAAAATTATCACTAAAAAAGGATAGTGCAAATTATCCTAAATTAAAGGTCTTTATGGTGCATCTGAGTTACTTTTAAGAAATTAAGTTCACAAATTGCGTTCTTCATCAGAACAATGCATCCAAAAGTGTAATATTTTGAGGAGGACTTCACTTCCTCTGCCTTCAGAAAGAAAAGGTGCTTTTATGCTCAAATCTGTTCTTGATATCGACCAACACTCTAATAACTTTTCTATCAAATCTTATAACCATTTCCACAACGTTTAGTTAATATTTGTTCACAAAGTTTTGCCATAAAAGAGTAGCACCCTCATGTTTACATATAAAGATATTAAATTCTTCCACATTTTACACGGATGATAGAAATTAGAGCTCTTCAATAGAAATTAAGGCTCTTCAATAGAGATAATTAATTTTAAGCTTACAAAACGTCATCGAGTGGACTATGTGAAGTTAAAATAAATTAAAGGGTTAAGTATATACTGGAATAAGTTGATATGCTTAATCTCATGATAGATAGGCATTAACCAAAATATTGTTATTTGATTTAACATGCACGATACTCATGCACAATTGACATGCTCATTTCCGTTTGAGGAAAAAAGATGAAACAAGAAGAAGATGAAGATAATAATTCACATAAAATGTAGTCAAATGAGATGGAAGATTTTATGTCTTCACCTGTATATAAGCCTAATCAAAATCACAGATCCCTCACACAATTAACAGTTGAAGGACTAATCAATAAAATATGTGAACATATGTGTTAAGGTCATACCAGCAGATATGATGAGTGCTTGAGCAGTATAATTGAGATTTGCCTTTGCCCAAGGAATTGTCCGCACAGCAACCAACTGAGAATCAGAGAGTCAAGATTTATAAGATACAGGCAACTGAGAGTCTGAGACAAGAAAAATAACTTTTCCCTAATGAATATATCTGCCGTCACAGCAATGGTCTACAGCATCAAAG